GAAAAATATTAAGATTTAAGTGAGCTGGACCGATTTGAAAATACCTCCAAAAATCGAGTTTTTTATGAATAGAAATAGTTTCTTAAAGATTTTTTTTTGAAAAACTCCCCTCAAATGATAAAACGGTTTAAGCTTAAAATATTTGCATAAAAATATTAAACAAAATTTAAAAAAAATTTTGAACGGAATCGTAATGATGAGATTTTTGATGCTGTTTTTTAACGTTTTTCAAAGATTGGTATAGGAAAAACTTGAATAACTGAACCTAAACTCTTCCGATTTAGACTTAAGAGGTGTCATTGGAAAGGTATTTTCTCACCCTTATTATCTCTTTGCTAATAAACTCATTCAAAGGATGGAAGAGAAAGGTAGGATGAACGAACGTCATTCAAAGTTGAATTAAGATGTGTTGGTATTCGAAAAAACAAGATGGGAGACGAATGATGTTTTTTTGGCCAGAAATAAAAAGAGTGTGAAAATACCTTTCTATTGAGATCCGATAAGTCTAAATCAGAACATTTTTGGCCCAGTTATTCAAGTTTTTCGTAAACCAATCTTTGCAAAAAGTAAAAAAACAGCATCAAAAATCTCCTTCTTACGATTCCGTTGAAAAGATTTTTAAATATTTTTATGCAGATTTTTTAAGCTTAATCTAATTTGTGATCTGAGGGGACTTTTTTCAAAAAGTTCTTTAAGAAACAATTTTTATTGATAAAAAACTTCATTTTTGGAGGTATTTTCAAATCGGTCCAGCTCGCGTAAATCTTAATATTTTTCCGAAATATTTTGGTGGACGTCTTAAAATATAATAAATTTTGTGATCCCGGTGGAAAAACCGCAACTTTTTTTTGTGATGCAGTCTAATGTACATACATTGATGCAAATGCAATAAAAACATTCACGATGTCAGCATTCAAAGCAATGGAGAGCTAAAACCGACTAAATTTGTGGGCCGATTCTGGCGCTGGTGTATAAACAAGTATGGGTAATTTCAAATATGTAAATATGTGAGCCCGCATCAACCAAAACTTGATGTGCACGCCTATCATTCAAGTCGATTGGCAATCAAAAAAATTTTAATTTTCCGTTCTTTCATCTTGGTGTGTCAGAGGCATAGACGTGCAACTGATTTGTTTTCGCAGGAAGATCGAAGATGGAAGGATATGATTTGGAGGCTGTTATAAAGACGATTATTACAATTATGTACCTGTACATGATATTTGTATTTGTATTTTGTTTGCAAGGTAATTATGCCTTGCGGCAGTGTTTAGACAAGGCAGTAAGTATTCAATTAAATCTCGCAGGCATGGAAATATTAATTAATATTTGACGTTAATATCGAGTCCAATCACTGCACATCAGTTTACGCGTATACAATGCATAATTTATGTTTGATTACAAAATAAGATATTGGGGAACATTCGCCGACAGCTGCCTCGTAGATACGAAGAATTGTAGAATGAGTGGAAAACGTTTACATTAATGGAGCGCTATCTTCTAAAAACGTCCTGGACTCCAGGTGTATAACAGCAGGAGGATTTATAAAGTGCTTTTGTTTATTCTATTATTATTTAGGATAGGCTAGATTGGAGCCCAATGGGTCCATTGGGGTACCGTTTGGGAGCTCCATCAAGTCCACTCACCTAGTTGTGAGTAGAAGTAGAAGTTAAGTTGATACAAACTCGATAATTCACGGATCTCTGCTGCGATTAGGTTCACCAAAGACGTGATGGTGACAAAGGTGCCTTCTAGAATCCGATATTGCAGGACAGTGACAGGGATAGTGCTCCACGCTTTCACGCTGCCGCAGAAGTCATTTGCCATTAATCCCCTTCTACTAGCATGCCTTCTAATCAAGCAGTGACCTGTGGTATTTCCGGTGCCAGGGAGGTTCTCTTCCTCGCAAGCTCATCTTCCACTTATTTAGTTTGCATGTCTCTCTGAGCTGGCACCCACATTCCTTAAGAACATGTCTGCATTTTTCGCCATTTTTTTTTGGAGGTTTCACTGAATTCCGGTGACCTTATAGCTGCTTTAATATCGAAGTCAATGGTTACTGAAGTCAGATAAGGAGAAGAGTCAAAGTGAAGCCTAAAACAGTGTACATAAATCATTCTTATAAGGTTCTACGGTATATCCGGGGAAGTGAGCGTAAACAAGAAGCTCTAGCACTTCATCTCGATACGAATTTCGCTCACCGTTTGGCTTGTAACAAGTAGAAAATTGACACATCGATAAAACCTTCCGTAACTGATAGGCTTCCAAGTGTTCCATCACAGGATTTTTCCATAAGGCCCTTTGAGCTCGTTTAATAGCTCGCTTGAAATTTCTTAAGTCATAATTTTAGGTATACCCCAATTAGGGTTGCCAACCGTTCTATAATATATAATAGGTACTATTTTTCCGGTCGGCGTACTATATACTGTTGGCAAAAATATAGTACCCAATAATATTATCTTTTGCACGAAAAATGTGTATCTATTAAAATTGATGACTTTTATACTGAAATAACAACATTAAATGAAATATTCTTTAAAGTAAAAGATCATTGTGAGTTTATAATGAAAAAAGATAACATATTTTCAAAAACACTGAGAAAGATTAAAAAAAAATTTACATAAAATTATTTCATTTCTACTCTCCGTTTCAACAACTTCGGCATTCACAGGAAGATCGAAAATCACTTAAAAATCGTTTTTACTTTTTCTTTTAAATAAAATACCATATATATTCGAAGTGTACTATATTTTTTCCATTTTTTTTGAAAAAGTACGATAAATATCTTAGAAAATGTTGGCAACCCTAGCCCCAATCCGTCTCTGCTTGCCCTATTAAAAAGCTTCTTACTAGCCTTTCGTCAACGAAACAACATCTGTCGTTAGTTTCGGTCTATTTTGTTATATATATTTTTATTTGTTTAAACTTTTTTATCAATATAAAGACTTGCAAAAATTCGTTAAAATGGTATTTAAAAAATGTTACAGGGTGCGGTGTTATATTTTTAGTTAAGAAATCATACAATTCAGGTACCTCATTGCCAAGAAAAAAATTAATTCGCAAAACATTACAAAATTTCAATTGTTCATAAACAAATTTCAAGATGGAATTTTGCAATGAAATGCCCATAAATTAAACTTTATCTGAGCCAAATATTTGTGTATGAAAAAAGTAAAACTTTGCAAATTCATGGCCCACTTCAGAAAGCTTTACCCATATACATAAAAATGGCCACCTTATTTTATTAGCATGTTTCTTATAAAGCAACAATCTCGCACACAAACATATACATATGTATGTAAGTACACACATGAATACTTCATTTCCTGGTATGCACAAATGACAAAGTTTGGACACGTTTAAACTGCATAGCGCCGGTTGTGATTGCAGTCAAGTGTGCTCCAAAAAAATATGCTAACTACATTTCGCAAGTCCAAGAGAGAAATATGTATACTATTCTGTAATGAATTGAGGAAACTTTTAGGCGAATGTCCTATAGGAAAAAATTTAGCAGAATAAGCAAGTTTCAGGTTCATGACAAGAAAGACCTCCACATTTTCACTTTGCTAGGGCACTAAACATTCAGATGAAAAAAAGTTTCCACTGTACCTTTGCCAATGGAAAACAGGCACTGAAAATTGCGTAATGCAGAAATCGGTTTATCTACAATTCAAATTTGAAAAAGACTTACGGAAATTGATGTCGAATTAGGTCATAAAAATCAATTTTGGTACAATATCAAGTCTTACGCCTCCGATTGGAAAATAATTCCGGCCGAGCACTTACACAGCTAATTCTTTTATCGATTTCGATTTTATTCATGGTTTTAAATTTATGTCATTCCAAGAAAACAAATTTCCTACAGGCCTATTTCTTTATAATTTGCTTTTGTCTGTCGCATTCATGAACAAGTAATATTCAAGAATGTCTTCTTTCTTACTTCGATCTTGAGCAGAGTGGACAGTTATCAAGGACTTGTCGTCACTCTGATACGCTATGCAGAGGATAAACTTTTATTGGGATATACATATGTATGTATGTAATGTGCATGCACTAGGCTAGTTAAACTTCACTGGCGACAAAGTATAGTGGCTTTACCTTCTGGAACTCTACTAGTAAGTGAAAGACTAGTCGTCCTTTCTATAGCGTAGATCTCTGCTTTGAAGGCACTGCAATCGTTGGGTTGATGAAAGGTGCGGTTGAACTGCAGGAAATTCGAGTACAGATCGGCTCCGGTTCCTTGTTCAATCTGTGATCCATCAGTTTAAATGGATATACCTCCCTCTGCTATTGGTATTTCATGCAAGTGATCGGTGCCGGCGTGGCCCGACGGAGCGACGCGACAGGTTAAAGGTACTCTAAAACCTTTATAGCCCGGAAAAATAAAAAAGGCCCAATCCTTTTATTAATAATCTTTATGTTAAAAGACCTGATCTTTCTATTAAGCTGATTCAAAGCAATATTAAAAAATACCATAATTGACAAAAAATTTCACATACATTTTCGTTTTGAGTTTTCATCGTGAATATGGAAGCATTTTTTTGATAGAAATCATAGCGTTCGAATTTTTCCAAAAATTTCTGTCTGCTTTACAGCAAGTCGAAAAGTTGCCTGAAAACACATTGTCATATGAGACACAAAATAAAACGGTCTATAGATTAATTTAGATCAGAATATTCGAATACATGCGCTGCTAAATCTGTCCGTGTTTGGTCTATAATATAATCGGTAAAGAAAGGGATAATGGAGATAAAGTTTTATCAAAATATGTCGACAAATTTTGTCGTCAAAATATGGCATAGTAAAAACCAGCCATAGGTATATCGCTGCCATAACACAAACAATTTTGAGTAAAGCACACATCTGAACAACTCTTGATGTTAAATGAATTTTTGAGATGGACTGGTGTGAATTTTACAGTATTTAGTTAAAATTTTAATAAATATATCATAATATTTCTCCCTCTTTCGAGTTTATAAAAATATGGTTACGTTTATTTTTACCTGTACAAATTTTTAGTAATCCTAAGCCGTTTGAGTAATTTCTTATATTCAGCTTTGCTTTTATTTTTTTGCGATTCCTCTTTACTTGCAATAACTTCCAACACTGATTACACCAGATGTACTTTTTTAGAACAAAAGTATTTATGGCGATAATTTTCGTACACAAACTTATGTAAGAATATTTTTATTATTTTTCTATATTCGTTTTGTTATTATTTGTTGGTGTATTGATGCTAAATCACACACAATACTTGCATATTGAGGTGGAATATTTTTATTTAAATATTTACTAAGATGAAACGCTTTTATTATTAGTTTTTTTCACAAGAACATTTTCAAATTTTCCAAGATATTTCACATACTAATGTGATTTTTTAACTTTTTTCAGAGAACTAAAGAACCAATTGATTCTACCGATTAGTTTCGTTTTAATTTCAAGAATATTAAATAACTATTTCTGGTGTTATTTCCTTTCCGACTTCAAATGCTTTCTCCAAAGCTAAACTCTCTTTCTATTTCACACATACACACAACTTTGCTTTCAATAACATTTGTTTATTTTTTATAGTCGTTTTCACTTTTCTCTTTTATTCGATTCGCCTGTATTCTATGTACATAAGTATACTTATAGTCTAGACTCTAGACGAATATGTACATACATATTTATTTTTCAACACAGTTCCGCCATAAGCCCGGCGACACGCAAAAAATTAACAGGCAAATATTTAATTTTCTTAATAACCAATAATGCTCGCCTCATCGGTACACAAGACACGAACGCTGCGCTAAGAACTCTGCCGTCGTCAACGTCGCGGACGCGTATTAATACCGAATCAGTTGTCAGCACACCAACCAAAAAATAACCGTTTTTCCCGTTTGATTCACCCACGTCCAATTTCGACAACGCACCAACATCAACTAGGACTCACCACGCACGCCAAACACAAATCCGAGTCAGTGACAGAGTCGGGGAGTTGGTTACGACGAAACGTGATGGAAGAAACATTTTTTGGTGCTCTGTTGGTGCTTCGGCGCTGAGTTGCAGCGACACTATGCATTGCCGAGACTGATATCCTGCATCGACGCAGACTGGCAAAACATCGACAGTAGACAACAACAACATCACAAACGCTGGGGGTGGTGGTGGTGGCGCTAGGCGAACAGGGTGGTCATTTTATAGTGTTGGTTAGTGTTTTGATTTAGGGGTGGTTGTTTCGACAATCAGTTGTTTTTTCTACTTTCGCTTGTTTTGATTTCTCGTTCGCTGTTGTAGCACGTAGTCAGTCGATACATGGAAGCACTGTTTTTGTTCATCAATGAATGAATGCACTTGCATATAGGGTTGTTTTGGCTAGCTATTAACGTCTTCCAGTTATAAGTTACTCATTCGGATTTAGTTTTCGAAGTATCTGTGCGCTCTAGAGCAATTTCTTGAACTGCATTATCGACCTAGGGATGCGAAAAATTTACCCAAAATTATTTACAGGGAACAAATAATTGCATATGTATACATACATACACATATGCGTGTCTGTAGTAGGGATGTTTCGAGTAGTCAAAGTTCAAAAGGGGCATATTATATTTCAAAAAAAAAAAATGTTGCTGCCTTTCCTCCCATGAGCCCAACCAACCTATCGAGAGAATTTTCACCAAGATGAGCTCGTTTTTCTTTAAGATATGCCTTAACATGTGCTTTAATTTTAAATTTTTAAATATCTTCAGATTCTACATCCGAGCCTGCGCTCGCTGGAGGAATCTTAAATTATTTCTAGGTTGCTTATAAGACTTTTAGCAGTACTTGTTGAAGGCCTTTCAATTTTGCTTGATATACTACTTAACCGTTTAGCGCCTGAAGCTAAAAGCCGGTTATTTTCCGCATTCAGGTTAAACAGACTTAAAGCCATTTCAGCAATATTAGAGTGGACATTAGGGTTATGATTTTTTTTTTAGATTAAAATGCTTGTGGTGGCAAACGATGAACTTTTGTATAAATTTCCAAAAAATAACAACAACTTTGATAAATTATAAAAAAAACTCCCGCGCATAGCGGAATTTATAATCAGTTTCTAAGTGGAGAAAATTAATATTCAAACATGTTTTTCTTCTCAAATGTTTTATGGTTTTATTAAAGTAAAATAGATTCGTGGATTTAGTGCTGATACACATCGATTTTAAATCAAAACTTGGTAAGCAAAAAGGAATTTCGGTCAAATTTTTATACTAGGTATGGGGCTTTGCCATGCAACGGCCTTGTAAATGAAATGAGTGTGCGCGGGAGGTATTTTCACGAACCAACAAAAATATCGCCAAAAAAGTAATATATGGACAAAAGTTCATTAAATGCAAGCACAGGCAGATCAAAATTTAAAAAAAGTGTAAAAAAATCATAACCCTAGTGGACATGTACACATTCACACTGACAAAAATTCGTATGATTTGCTGCGAATGCGAATGTGTAAAATGGTGCGAAGCATTCGCATAGCGAATTCGAATGCAAATATTCGCAACATCTCTGGTAGGTAGTATATAAATACATACATACATACCTATTACTGCATTAAAAAGTGCTAACATATGGACATATATGTGAATATGTGTATATGTGAAAGTTTATGAGTGAGTACGCTTGTTGCTGAACTTATTTCACAGACAGTTTCTAGCCTGGATTAACACATAGGGTAATTCTTCAAGAGAGGTGTCACTTTTCTCAAAATTAAGGATCAGTTACTTAATAAGTTAGATAAAATATATACATATAACAACAATGAGGGTGTCAAACGAAAGCGGTTTAAAATGGATTCATTTTAAAAATATTTTTGAAAGAGATGACCAAGTTTTTAGAAATTAAAAATCAATTTAATTACAAAGTATTTATTTTTCGAATAAATAGGTGAAATAGAGCGTTCTTCAGTCAAATTCTGAAGTAGGGCGTTCTTGGAAATTTTTCTTAGATCGCGCATTTTCGAACTGGCTGCCGAGATAGGTCAATCTTCCACTCAAGTGACGATTTGTTATTTTTATTTTCATTCTTATAGGCACATATGTTGGGTAAAGAGCGGCAGCTTTGACAACTTTTTTACAAGGTCACTGATAAGGCTCTGTCACACTGTCTTAAGGCGAGGTTGAGAGGGCTGATCCTGTGGCAGCTGGCGCGTATTGCGGGGCCGCCATTCTTGTGCATAGGGCAGAGCACACTTAAATTCCAGTCGTCGGGCATGCGTTCATCTGACCAAATTCATCGTACCAGTTGTTATTTCGGCCACGCTAAAAGCCAACTACTTCTTCGGCGATGGTACTTAATGAGCGGTTTGTTGAAGAGTACTCTCTGAGAACAGGTGCAAGAATCGAGTGGCGAATAAGTTGGCTTGGCTTTCCTTGCATTAGTGGACGCATATTTTTTGTAGTGTAAAATACTGCAAGCGTGCCTTCCGTCTATCAAAAAATGATCGATTTCGTTTTTCTTTTTTCGATCTGAAACGTTTGAGCGTTTTGTCGGACATTGAAGCTTCCAGCGCTGGTTCTAGCTTCCAGTGATGATACCTTGTTGTTTTCTTCTTCTTCTCTACATTTTCTTAAAGCCTTTAGCTGCTTTGCTATTTAATGCTTTGAATTTTGCCCTTGACCGTAATTCGATACCTCTCAGGTAACCAGCATTGTTAGTTTCCTTATAGTACTATCGCGTGGCTGTCTTTCTGCTGTTGCCGGTTGCATTCTACTTCTTATTGTAACCTCAGAGTTGGCTTTGATGGTTTGATTTTGCTGTCAGTACCTTAAACTCAACTACAACCAACTAAGCACAGACAACACAACTCAATTTTCCTCTGTACCTAAACCGCGTTTTCTTGCATTCCTGTTGCTATGCTATTGCCGGTTGCGCAAACTTTTCGCCCCCACTGCCGCTGCATTCGCGTATTTTGTAGCTCCTTTCTTTTTCGTTTAGCTTTATGCCATTCTGATTGCTTAATGCCACAACTTTTCATCCTCAAATTCAACAAATAAAAAAAATGTGTAAATACCCAAAACAAAGAAAGCAAAAAAATACGAATGGTAAGCTTATAAATTGATTTGTATTTTATTTGTAAAACTAAGTAGGTTTCTGGTTGGTTAGATCCTTGACCTTTTTCTTTTTTTATTGCAGAAACATTAAATAAAAAAGATATGCTAGTGTAAAAGTTTGCAAACATGATGAACATATAAATATACTGACAGGTAAATACTTATAATTTGAGTGAAACTACCCAAAATCTTAAGCAGGGATGCGTCAGTAAAAAAACAATTATTTTTTCATTATATTTAAAAAAGCTCATTGTGTTGGAATATGCATTTTTGGATATCTCATCAAATATTAGCGATACACGTGATAAAATCTTTAATAAATTCAAGAAGTTGGTTGAAATTTGTCCCATACGAAACTTCCGATTCAACCTCAGTATTTATAAGAATTTTGCAAAAAATCACTTGTGGCACATTACATACCACATCCCTTTCATCATCCAAAAGGAGGGGGTTTACAGTTATCTCTATTCCTCATTTTTTTATTTTGAGCTCAGTTAATATATAAAAAGACTCCTGTTATCATTTTGCTCGATAAATCGCAAAAAAATTTGATACATGAAAATTTTGTTCTTCATTCGGCTAGTGGCGGAACGTGACAAAAAAGGTGCTGGTTTCCTTCTCAACAGAGGCCATGCAAACCTGCAGTAATCGCTCATCGGAAAACCTTGTCGAGCTACATTTATTCCTACCTGGCTGTGTCCGGTGAGAACAGCAGTGGTATTTTATGAAGAGTCTTTATGTGTTAATCATTCTGGGATGGCGAAAGTATTCTGGCAAACAACTTCTATTGAAGGCCGCTATATTTTTCTGAAAGGATTTAAATACAGCTAGCTGTCTGTGAAAATATACATATGTACATAGATAAACATATAGACAAGGTATCGTTTCAAACTAGTACCACTGGTATTGTTTACTTGTGGACAACACTACCAACCTTCTTATCAAGCATTGCCCGATCCGCGTAAACGTGGACTGATCATTTTTCTAGTCGTCTACGATAACCGCGATTTCGGCGTGACTATTATCACGAAAATCAATTAATTAAAAACAATTAATTTATTAATTATTTATTAAGTTATTTTAACTGCAAATTTTTCAATTAAAAGGAAATACTCGGCAAACGAAATGTATGTAGATACATACTCGTATTTCCCACTGTCAAAACGAAATTCATATTTTTGGAAATTTAATAAACATATTTGTATGTATTTGGAATGTTTTCGAGTTTGTATATTTATACTCAAATGTAGCTTTTGTTGTCCTTTAGGGTAACATAGTGACTCTCAACGTAGAAAAAATGTGTCCCGGTTAGGCAAAATGCAATAATACTCGTATTTACAAATTAATTACATTCAGCCTATTGAAAATCATAAATTTCCTGCTGGCAGAAATGCTTCTGCTTGCCCAATTTAGCTTTGACACTTGACATTTCTATTTTTTTTTTTGCTTTTTCTGCATGCCTTTTTGATCGCTGCTTCGTTTTTGGTCAGTAGTTGACTTTTGTTCACTTCAACTTATGTACAAACAAACAGTATCCAACACACTGTGGGAGTCTGCCGGTTCCCCGTTCAAGCACAAAATTGAATGCAATTTCATTTATTTAACTGTAGTCGGTTGCGAAATTGCAGAGTAATCGTTTGTCATTTTTATTGTTTTTCATAATTTTGAATATGCCAAAACGTTGCTTGCCTCTCTCTGTTAGTTCCACAAATACACAGTAGTGTCCGCAGTCTGAATGTGTACATCAGGGATGTTTCGAATGTCGTACCTACACAGCATATTTATGTATGTATTTCACATTCGCGAATTGTATAACCAACTTAAGTTATTGTTTTTATAACCTACAAATTGTAAAAATTACAATTGGAACATACAAAATTGT